CGACAAATCCACTTGACAATGATGATTTTGCGATCGCAAAACGATGGTTTGAATGGGGTTTTCTGCTTTGCGATGATCTGTTCCCTGCTTCAGGAACTGATTTTCACTTTACGACAATCAAAAACAGCTGACTGTTGGGTTTCAAAATGGCTGCCGGATGTACAAAATGGCTCCCCGCTGTGTTTAGGAGCCATTTTTCACTTTACAGGCATCCGAAAATGTCCGCCCCTATGGAGGACCTTCGCTGGACGTTGAGTTTTCAGCCCATTGGAACGCATTGAACGGTTTTCAATGCAGTTCAATGGGCTTTTTTATTTCGCTTTACGACGTTTTCGCTCTACAGCGATTTCGCTGGAATGAATTAATGTTGTTAAACGAGGCACCACTGTAGTTCCAAACCTATGGTCCCCCATAAGTTAGTAAAATATCCCAATGACTACTTACTTACTTACTTACTTACTTACTTACTTACTTACTTACTTACTTACTTACTTACTTACTTACTTACTTACCCACCCAAAAATATTTTTACTGCACCTTTCTCCTTAAAAAGGACGCAAGGCGGCTTACATTCTTAAAAGACAATATCCAAAGCTGTGAAAACTGTTATACAACTGTGCTTTGTATCTTTAAAAGATAACATTTAATGCTAAGAACAATGAGTATAAAGAGGCAGCTAACTTTCTGGACCCTCAAAGGTTGAAGTAACTAAAAAGTTGAAGCTATACTGCAAAAGGAGTGAAGCTATTACTTGCTGACCTACAATTGTTATGCAACGTATAAATCCCTTAGTAACTGGGGAAATTAATTAATGACAAGCAACTAGTTGTTAACCAGTTGTTTCCAAGGCCTGCATCCAAGGCCTTCTTCTGTACATGCCCCCACAGTCAGAACTGAGAGGGGTGATGCAGAGAGAGAAAGATTATTCCAAACAGTACCACTTAGGGATGGGGCATGCTTCTTTTCTGTCTCTGTCTCTCTCTAGAACTCACAGAAGTCTGTGGTCATCATGGACACTAACCTTACTGGCTGTCAGATTCTGGGACCTGTACTTCAAAGAATAAACTCTCTCCATCAACACTATCTTCTTAGGGAGGGCAGTTCACTGCCAAGCCTATTGCCTTTCTAGCACTAAGATCTTTTTATTCTCTCAAGATTTTAACTGCTACAACATCTTTGCAGCTACCTACCACTTTAATTTACTGTTTTTCTTCACTTCACTATTTTTTTTGCCATTGTTCTGTTTTATAGATGGACGTTGCCCTGATAATATTCATATGGAAAGGCAAGAGCTCATTTTACCAAATAACTAGTGGAATACAATGGAAGGTGAGAATGTTCAGCCGGGAGTGTATTTTCCTGCACGTCTGTTTCAAGCCAGGGACTGTAGATGCGTCCAAGCACTCCTCTATTTATTTAATTTATATCTCCGATAATTTTATATAGCCTTCAACTCCCATGTGTTCTCAGGGAGGAAAGCAGTAAGAAATACAGTAAATGAAATGTACCAACACAAAAATAAAATAGCACACAAAAATTCATTGAGTACAATAACAACACCTTTGTTTCATGGTTTTTAAAGGTAGAAGAAATCCAGGAAGAATAGAAATCCACTTGAAAGCCTGGGAAATGAACAATGGCTTTATCTGATGTCTAAATGATGTCAGCATGGGCCTGGGACATATCAGGCCTTGGGGGGAGGGGGTTCCTCTTCCATTGTAGTTAGCTCATTACAGCTCCAGGACTAAATCAGACATGTCAGAAACAATGTAAAGGACTGTTTGCATGCCAGTTCAATTCTTTTTGGCTGTAATATTTTAAAGGCAGCCTTCACAAATCTGCCCCCCTTCAAGAATAGGTTTGACTAAATCCATAGACCTGAGAAAAGTGACCATGCTGCCTAGGCAGATAGTGTACAGTGGTGCCTCACTAGACGACAATAATCCGTTCCACTCGCCTTGCTGCCTGGGCAGATTGTGTACAGTGGTGCCTCACTAGATGATGATAATCCGTTCCACTGAAATCACTGTTTAGCGAAATCGTTGTCTAGTGAAAAGCATTTCCCCATTGGAATGCATTGAAACCTGTTTAATGCATTCCAATGGGGAAGAATCGTTGTCTAGCGAAGATCGCCCATAGGAAAGCCGCTTTGCAAACTGCCAATCAGCTGTTTAAATCACTGTCTTGTGAGGCTTAGGTCCCAAAAACACCCGTTTTGCGAGCGCAGAGGGAGCTGTCAAAATCATCGTCTAGCGAAAATCGGTTTGCGAAGCAGGGACCAAACATTGTCCAGCAAAATTCCCCCATAGGGATCACTGTTTTGCGAATCGCTATAGCGATCACAAAAAGCCAATGTCTAGTGAAAAAACTGTCATGCGGAATAACTGTCTAGCGAGGCACCACTGTACTGGGAATTTTGTCATTGAAAAAATGAACTTTTCCAGCTCTGTAACTCTCCCATCATCCATAGCCAGCAGAGCTGCTGACTTCATGGCTGGTGACAATCGGAGTTCTGGTTCTACAAATCTAAAAGGGCGGTCAGTCGGAAAGGGTTGTATTCGAACGGGAGAACACAAAAGCCAGCAAAATGACCCAGAAGATCTTTTTCTTATTTTAACAGTCTTTTATATGTTTGCTTTGTCTGGTTCTACATGACTGTAGGTGTGTCAGCTCTACCTGCTCACCACTAAGACTCATTCTAGAGTGAGTATGAAAGTAGGACTACCAAGATAGAAATGTTTTTGCTATATTAAAAAATACCAATGAAAAGGTTAAAAGAAGAACAATAGTTGTTTGTGATATACAACTCTTTTCAGCAATGACTGCACCCATTCATTGCAGGCTGCCATCCTGAAAGAGCAAATGTGCCAGTTTTGTTGTACCTACTCAGAGAAAATGGCATGTTTGCTCACATTATTTTTTTAGAAAGAAGCAGAAGCTGCAACGCCACTTGCTGTCTACAAATCAAAAGAGGGACATCTATCTACTGTATCTATGCTGGCAGGATTATCTCAGTGATTTATTTTAAACATTTATATGCTACCTTCCCAAGATTTATTCAAATTGTCTCACAAACCAAGAACAATCTGAACCTCCAGTTTATATAGTTTATGAAAGCAAAACATACATGCACTGGCTTGCCCCCTTCCCTAAATTCTACAAGTGGAATCACCATCACCATAGCAACAGGCTCACAGACTATTTTGAATCAATATTCCTGCATTGCAAGAGCACTGAATTAATGCAAAATCTAGACTCGAGCACATCTCCATAAAACATTCCTACACACCAAACCTTAGGAGAAATTTCCTGTAAATCAGATTAAAATAATGTGGATGTGCTGGTTCCACTGAATAAGCAGGGTACAGAAAAGGCAGAAGAAATAGGAACAGGAAATGGATTTATTGGTCTGATTTCTGCTTGGAACCGTGTCCGTTCTAAAGCTTCTGGTCACATGGTAGCACAGCAAGCAACACAAGTGGGAAATCAAAAGAAATAGTATGCCTTTAAACTACCCAGTGTAAACTTTCTGAAACAACAAAAGTTTAATCTCTGCAATTATAATTTTATCTTTGCTTGTGAATATAAAATTCATTCAAACAATCTTATTTCAGCTTTTTAAAAAATCTTCTGTTTGCACTTATTTAGAAAAGCATCTATAAGAGGTCTATAAAACCATCGTCTACAACTAACCACAACCTTTTCAGTTCATCCAAGCCAAGAAATTATGTTTAGTTTGTTGTTGTTTTTAATGTCTTGGCTCCTTCTGAAGCTTATCATCCCTATCGGCTGCTTTGGATGAGAAATTTTCACTTCACCAAGGCATAGTGTAGGAGAAGCTATGGTAGGCATGGACAAAGGCTCAGTTGTATCTCATTTTATGAATCTTCTGAAGCTTATCATCCCTGTCGGCTGCTTTGGATGAGAAAGACATGGCAGGCATGGTCAAAGGCTCAGTTGTATCTCATTTTATGAAGATATGGTTATTGGAATGAAAAACACTTTCATAGTTCTGAAACTTTACAAACTATAGTATACACTGATGTATCCAAGATAATGAAGAACATCTCCCCTCTTTGGGTACAGAATTCACAATATAGTAGCTTGAGAAGGAGACAGGGAAAAGAAAAGTCCAGAGAAAAGATTCCGGTTACTTGAAAATTCAATTTCACAAGAAGGAATTAGCAGGGAAGCGACATTTTCTTGTAAGCATATTGGGCCAACCCCTGCTGGCTGACATCAAAGTGATTATGAACGCCAGTAACATTGTCCCAAAAGACATGCGCAATAGATTTATAGGGACCTCAAATCATTGGATCTTGCCAGAGAATATTACACAATTTCCTGGAAGTCTTCACACTAATAAATTAAAAATATAAATTTCTTAAACTTTTCAAGCATGGCCTTTATTTGACCCCTACATAGCAGTGATGACTAACATGTTATCATTCTTGCACCTTAGTCAGATATTTAGGCAAACTCTGCCTAACTGATGTATTGCCACAACTTGGAAATTACTTTTTGTATATCTCCAGACATTCTGACTGGGGGATCTTGGAAGCTGTTGTACATGAGAAAGAAAGAAAAAACACAACTTGCTCAAGCCCACAAAGCAGCTAGTACACATTCTCTTTTTTTTAAGAAATGTTTTTTTAGTTGGTTAGTAAACAAGATTTCTTTCTACCCTGTGTGCTGGAGCAGATCCCTCCTTCTGTTTATTAACTTACTTTGCCTCTCTCTTTCCTGTGCCTTCCCTCCTTGGCCAACACAGAAACTAAACAGACTGGGGGCAAAGAGACAGTAGTGTGATATGTCTCCTTAAACTAGACCATGCAGTTGCCTGAACAAAAGTCCTTGTTGTCTTTGGCAAACAGACAAACACCATTTTTCATGTCTCCTCAATATAGCAGGAGGATTCCACCCTCCTAAAAATCCTCCATTAGTGAATCTAATTAGGGACTCAGACATCTTCCATCCTGCAGTCTTATTTACAGACTTACCTTTCTTCCCTTTCTCTTTTCTGTTTCCGAGCGTGGCGATCCATAACGCTTGTTTTGGTTCTTGTCTTTTTCCAAGAGTAATAGAACTTCACCAAGCTTGCTATCGATTTGTCAGGAAGCTGAGAAAGAGAGAAGAACACTGGGATTGCTCAGGCACCCAAAATTACACACAAATCAAATACAAATCAGATAATGAAAGAAAAGAGCCCAGCTCCAAAGTGAGCGGAATCTAGCAATCACCATGCAGGAATAGAAGGATTTGCAACTCTTGGAGAACGACTTCAGAAAACACGAGGATTTTTTTTTCTGCCTACATTTGCAAAAGCAGAAGGCGAAGCATCAAGGCTCAAGTGCATGGAAACTCTACATCAGGGTGCTATTTCATGAATCGGGCGCAACTCAACTGGTTCCCTGGGTGAAGTTCTAGACATGGTTCCATTTCTATCCCAGTACTAGTGATTTGAATTGTTTATCCTCAACTGGGGCCCAACTTCATAGCTACAGTCTGACCTAAGATGGGCTGAAAAAGCACCATTATTATCATACAAATGAAGTGTATGTGTGTATACACAGATACATACATACAGTGGTGCCTCGCATTACGACGTTAATTCGTTCCAGCGAAATCACTGTAGAACGAAAATGTCGTAATGCGAAAATAAAAAGCCCACTGAAACGCATTGAAACCCCTTCAGCGCATTCCAATGGGCGGGAAACTCACCGTCCAGCGAAGATCCTCCATAGGGCAGCCATTTTCGGTGCCTGTGCAGCGAGGAATCCGTCCCAGAAAACAGTGGGGAGCCATTTTATTTACCCGGTGGCCATTTTGAAACCACTGATCAGCTGTTCTAAAATCATTGTTTTGCGAAGAATCAGTTCCCGAAGCAGGGAACCGATCATCGCAAAGCGAAAAAACCCTTTTCAGACCATCGTTTTGCCACTGGCAATGGTGCGGCTAAAAAATATTGTAAATAAATAAAATAAATAAATACGGTTTCGTCATAATGCGGGGCAATCGTAAAGCGAGGCACGACTGTACTCTCATCCACATATACCCAAGGCACCAAATTTAAGGGACACTGAAATCTAGAGGTGGACCTACTGGCGAATGTTGGGAAAATAAGCAACATTTCCTATCTTGTTCATTTCCCTTTTATTTTTTAAATTTTTTTGAGAGAGGATAATATTTTTCTTTCTTTTGGGTGGGGATCCCATATTCTTCTCTTCCTTTTTCATGGGGGCTCACGCACATACACATCTTACAGCAGAATGGGTGGGGGATGGTGCTACTTGTCCTGGGTGCCAAAGTGGCTGACTCCTGAACCCCTTGATAATGCTTCAGTGACTTCTTGCCTATTTTGTTGCCTGGCTTTCAGGGGAAGTATTGGTCACACAGCCAGTCTGCATTTCAAATGCCACATTTTTCTTTTTCCGGTCTGCATGCTTTTGTCCTTCCCTCCAATGCTACCTCAGCTAGACATGTTGTACTCTCACTTAAACACTAATTACATTATCAGTAGTTCTGCTTTTGTTGCTATACAAGCCAAGCTTTAGGAAAAGCAATTTGCAATTAAGGGGCTGTCTTTCTCTTTGATTGCTTTAAAAATGTACTTAAAATGTGCTTTACAACTTGCAAGGTATTTAAATTTTGCACACTAGTTTAGGAAGCTGATGTTTCTACACTTTTCCCAGTGACCATGATATAATATCCCTAACATCATATTCACAAAACAATGTAAACTCTATGACAGGGTGAGTCAGGAGATCCTGATCCCTTTGGCTTCCCTGCTAATGCTCCAATACCTTTATATGTCTGGTTTACAGTGTAAATGAAGATAGATTCTGGATATACAGTGGTGCCTTGCTAGACAGTTACCACGCATTATAGTTTTTTCATTAGACATTGGCTTTTTGTGATCGCTATAGCGATTCGCAAAACAGTGATCCCTATGGGGGAATTTCGCTGGACAATGTTTGGTCCCTGCTTCGCAAACCGATTTTCGCTAGACGACGATTTTGACAGCTCCTTCTGTGGGACCTAAGTTTTCGGGATCTAAGCTTCGCAAGACAGTGATTTAAACAGCTGATCAGCGGTTCACAAAGCGGCTTTCCTATGGCCGATCTTCACTAGACAACTACGATACTTCCCCATTGGAACACATTAAACAAGTTTCAATGCATTCCAATGGGGAAATGCTTTTCACTAGACGATGATTTCGCTAAACAGCGATTTCAGTGGAATGGATTATCATCGTCTAGTGAGGCACCACTGTATGTACATAGTAGTTGCATCTGCATGCCATGCGGAACCATGGCTTATATTAGTCTAGTTAATTAAAATGAAAGCAAAACCATGTCAAACCATAGCTTGCTTTCTCAACATTTTAAAACCTTGATTAACCACTTTCCTTTACTGTCATGTAAACAAGTGGAAAACTGCCATATTTGCATTGCCATGGTTTATATTAGCTATGATTTAGTGCTTCAATAATGCACTGCCTTGAAGATAATAAAACAGGCCACAGTTTCTTAAACCATTTCTGTCATGGTTCTCTTCCACCCCTTCTGTCAGTTATCATTGCTGGAGGTTTTGGGGGAAAGGTGGGGAACAGGGAGAAGCCATGATTCTGAGTCCAAGCATGTACACGGACAAGCCATAGTTTAACCAATTTCCTCAGCCAAAACAAACCACGGTTTCTTTCTAATAGTGGTTTATCACATGTTTGGACACAATAGTAAGACAGAATTCAACAAATTCAAAGAACCCTAGCGTGACTTGGCTATGTGAGATGGGGAATTCTGAGATATGTCGTTCAAAAAACTACCTTTCTAAGCTCTGAATATCATACACTAGCAAATCCCCATGTCAGTCTGTGTTTCTTAAACTGCTAAAAAAAACACCTTTAGGCACACAGTTGCAAGAAGCAACAGATACAGAGGCAAGTGGAGCCCCTCTGTCATCACAAGGCAAGTTATGGATGGACCACACCACTCCTTATTGACCCACACTGGATTTGGGCGATTTATTATTGGCCTTGGTTATTGGGTTTTGGGGGCTTATTATTGGCCTTGCCACCCCAGCCTGGTTTAAGATGAGCTGTTAGTCTGGTGGTTACTCTTATAATTCACAGCTTGGCTTTTAATGCATGGTTTTGGAGGAACCAGTGATGCCCTCTTGTAGTTCTCCTGAGTTCCAGTGTTCCACTTAGTCCACAGATTTTTGCACAGCAGCAGCGAATATCAACAGCAAGCTACAGTCACATAATTGCACATGAAAACCTTTGCGGCAGAAAAAAAAATGGTTGGTTCCAGAGCAAGGAGAAGTAGGAAGAAGAGCAGGGTTCTGAGGAGGGAAAGATCAAATCCTAAAAGCTTCTGAGAAATGTTAGCCTCCGTAACAGGACATCAAGTGCCACAATAGTTAAAGAGATCTCCAAAGCTGCAATGCACACACTCATTCTGCACAAATGTTCTGCTCTTATTTCCCATACCAGGGAATTTGCTCCTCCAGAGGAGCCAAGTCAGGGTCTTCTGCTCTCAGGCAGGCCTTCCTTTACTTTGTTCTCAGCCTCTTTTGTCTCCCTCGCAACTAAAATCTAGATCATCAATTTGGAGCCTCTGGGCAAAAAATCTATGCTCTTCTCTTGCTTTATGTTATTTCAGAAAGTGTCACATACAGCGCTGGTGCTACTTAAGGAACTGGAAACAACTTCAAAGGAGGTTGCAGTCATTATTGGCTGCCAAATGCCACAAAAACGAATTTGTAAGATAACACCATTTCTTTCTGAAAACCTTGCATACCCAGCAACCGCATTGATACCCTTGGTATTCCCGGCTAGCTTGTTTACATTTTTTGCTGCAAATCAATAGACACAGAGAAGTCCTAACTGCATATCCTGACAGATCATCTGTGCTGGCTGAGATCTGTATAAATGTAGTAGTCAAAGGTCTGAAAATGTGAGCAGGGAGGGAGGAAGGCACTGTCAACTACAAAACTGTCAAAATAGTAACTCAACGCAGACAAGCCTACAAATCACAGCTCAGAGGAGGTTTTAGGCAGTCTCATTTCCATTACGCATTTCTCACTATTCTATAGCAAGTTTGCATCAGCACATGATGACGAACCCTTCCGTTCTCTTGCCTTGCCTTTCTTTCTGTTTCCAGTTTGCCATGATGGCTGCGTTCAAGTAAGTTTAGAGCAAGTCTTGAACTAATCCTGGTTCAAAGGTAATGGTGGCTTGTCCCTTGGGACAAGTGGGGCTCTGCCCCCTCTCAGGGTCAGGCAACCCCCAACCAAACCACTCCTGCCTGTTTCTTTACCAGAGTCTTTCTGTGTGTGTGCGCGCACGCGTGTCTATAGATGACTATGGATGACTATCTTTGTACCTAGTGTGTGTATGAGAAGAGAAGATGGCCATGTGTGTGTGCTTGCATGCAGTTGTGTGCTGACTTCTGTCTCCTGTACCCACCATTGTTTTTTTGTACGTGTGTCTTCAACCCACCAGCTGCAATGGGCACTATCCAACACTGTTTGGAGAGCTAACTAGTTGGCAAGTGCCTAGCTAATGATGGCTAAGGGATTCATTCTAGGAGCTGGAGCCCTAAAATGTATATCAACCATGTAGGACAATTCTATTTTTCCCTTCCTTTAAAATCCTCAAGGAAAATCAACTCGACATATGAGGAAAAAATTCAACTTCATACATTCCTTCTCATAGCTGATGGCAAACTTACACAAGAATAGAGTTAAACTGTGAATAATGCACTCCCCTCCTCCCGAATCTCATACTTTTGTCAGCTTCACTTTGATCCTATGGTGACATTCTTACATCTACTATAATGTTATTAGCAGTTTGCCAGTTTTACCCCTTCCTTTAGATGAGATGAAGACCCTGGAACATATTGTAACCTCTTCCCCCAAAACCCATTGGCTCCATCTTTTTTCTCTGTCATTGAATCTAGTTTTATTTTATGAAATTTCATAAATTACCAGCAAGAAAGCTAAAACCATGAAAAAAAAATTCTAAATTGAAAACAGATAATAAGAAATTATCTAACACCTCAACGTCAGGAAATTCACTCTTTCCTTTCCTCTGTAATAGTCTAACAATTTCCTAGACAATCAGGAATCTCGCAAGTCAAATGTGTTACGAGAATCCAAACCACTAGGCCATCACAACGACACCTTCACCTGCATCTGAGTCTGGCCTCTCAAGCTTTTGCAACTGTAGCTGCAACTGTGCTTACCATCTGTTGGATTCGGTGAAATGTTTTCCCATGGAAACTGAAAGCCTGTTCAAACAAGACTTTGTCTTCAACTGTCCATTCATCTGGGAAAGGGGTGAAGTTAGGTAGATCCGCCAGAGATTTCTCAATGTTATGTTTATGCCAAAAGAGCATCCCAAGGGCCTGGAGGAGGGAAGGTGGAAGAAAGGGCAACACGGATTAATGATAATTTAAAAATAGATCAACAGCCTAATCCTGTAGTAATCCTGATACTTCTCATGAAGGTAGGGCCCAACCTCGTTCAGCTCTATTTAATTGTGTTTGTTTGTTTGATGATTTTGTGATTGTATCATTCCGTTTTTGTTTTGCTCTTCCCACTGGCTTTTATCATACTGTAAACTGCCGGTTCAGGTCTATTTAATTGTGTTTATTTGTTTGTTTTATGATTTCGTGATTATATCATTTTGTTTTTGTTTTGCTCTTTCCACTGGCTTTTATCATACTGTAAACTGCCCAGAATAGTGCTGTGCACTAATGGGAGAGTATAGAAATGAAATGAAATGAAACAAACTTTATATCCCTAGGTCTAAACTGCAGCTCAACAACTAGATTTCAGGGCAAGGATAGACAACATCCTTAATCCAAGGTCCTTGCTGGGTTGTTGTTTTTTGCCGGGGAGGGGGGAAGGCTTTGTTTTGCTTTTGTTTCAGTTCTGTCCCTAAAAGCAAAGCATAGGGAAAGGTAAAGGTAAAGGTTCCCCTTGACATTTAGTCCAGTCGTGTCCGATTCTAGGGGGCGATGCTCATCTCCATCTCCAAGCCGTAGAGCCAGCGTTTGTCCGAAGACAGTTTCTGTGGTCACATGGCCAGCATGACTAGACACAGAACGCTGTTACCTTCCTATCGAGGTGGTACCTATTTATCGACTCGCATTTTTACATGCTTTCGAACTGCTAGGTTAGCAGGAGCCGGGGCAAGTGCCAGGAGTTCACTCCATCATACGGATTCAATCTTAAGGTTTTCTGACCTTGCAGCACAGAGGCTTCTGAGGTTTAACCCGCAGCGCCACCTTGTCCCCCTATATCACCCCATAGCACCTAAAGCACTCTCTGTGCAGTTTACAATTTAATTATGCTGGCTACACATTGCAGCCCCACCCGCCAGCAAGCTGGGTATTCCATTCACCAACCTTTGAAGGCTGGAAGGCCAGGTTTTGTGCTCTACTGGTATCGAAAAGGATTCCAGCTTGGTATTTATATGGATAATCCTCTCTTGGGAGTATGCATGGGTAATATATGGCCTGAAGCCTCGTGGACTCTTTTTTGCCTATTTTTGCAGTTCTGGCTACCAACATTTAGTGGGTGGAGTAGCAAAGTAGCAAACCATGGGACATGATTGTCCCATGACTAAGATATTTTAATGCACTGTATTTACTTTTTTTTGCTGCTGCTGCTGCTGCGCAGTCTAAATTTGGCCGCTTTTAGCAGTGTTGCCCAAATGGGATTGGGGCTTCCAATGTGGTGTTGGGCGGGTGAGGGACATGGTGATTGCCCCTCGCGACGGAATGAGCGCCCGTCGCTTGTCCCAGTCCAAATTTGGCCGCTTCTAGCAGTGTTGCCCAAATGAGAATGGGGCTTCCAATGTGGTGTTGGGCAGGTGAAGGATCAGCAAAGTTGCCCACCCCTGTTTTAGATATGAGCAGCAGAAATATTTGCTAACACGTAACACGGCCTGATCCAAGTGAGTGGCAGAAATTTTAGTTCTCGTTAAAGTATTAAGAGCTTTAACTATTAAGGCTTTTGCAACATTCTACTTTATACTAAAAAAATAACTTGGCTTTTATTTATAATAACATAAAATAATGATGTCGCAATAAAAATGAAAAAAAAAATCCCTGCTACCGATTTTTGCTGCTACAAAACCCAAATTGAATATATACTATTTTTAATGCTTTGTTTGAAGAATATATATCCATCATAGACAGTTGATAAAGCAAGATTCCCTAAATACTGCAAACTCTAGATCAGTGGTCAGGGAACAGGGGTAAATTACCCCAAATGGGGTAAAAATGAAAATCAGTTCTCGTTAAAGTATTCAGAGCTTTAACTATTAAGGCTTTTGCAACATTCTACTTTAGACTAAAAAAATAACTTGGCTTTTATTTATAATAACATAAAATAATTTCGCAATAAAAATGAAAAAAATCCCTGCTACTAATTTTTGCTGCTACAAAACCCAAATTGAATATACACTATTTTTAATGCTTTGTTTGAAGCATATATATCCATCATAGACAGCTGATAAAGCAAGATTCCCTAAATACTGCGAACTCTAGATGGATAAGGCTCAGCAAAGGCCAAATTTGTAAATATTTTTTTCTAAGAAATGCCATTCAACTTCACCGTGTTGGTGTATATATATATATATCTTTCTTAAATATATATATTTAAGAAAGATGTCCCAAAGGAGGTCCACTTTTGAACTGAAGTCACCAGACTTTTCACAGGGGAAGTTGACTCCATCATGGTTGAGCTTCTGGCAGGCCGTCAGTCAGATTGATGTTCTCCAAAAGGCCTTTATTCTTTCAAACAGCTCTTAACAACAGCTTTTAAAATGGTTTCAGGAGTGTGGTATGTTTTAGACTGTCTTATGTCCCCGGAAGAGCCCGTTGGGTGGCAGCAGTGCTCGCCCAGCCGCACGACTTCCTTTGGTGGCGCCTCTGCGCTGGTCGGCCAGGCCTGGAGGAGCATTTTGCCCTCCGTGCGGTAGGTGTCACGACGCTTCAATGGTGAGGCCTGCGGCCGCCCCAGCGAGCAGCCTCCAGAGCCGGTGCCAGAGTGGGAGTCGGTGGCATGTGCCCCCAGAGGGCAAGCCACCTGTTACTCTTCGACGGCTGCCCAGGAGCCATCCAGAAGTGGAGAAAGGGACTGAGCACAGCCCCGCCAGGCAGCGGAGGAGGAGGCCGAGGTGGCGAGGCTTTGGTGGCAACGCTCAACTGGCTGCATGTGACCAAGATCCTTCCTTTCAAATCAAGGGGGTAATGTCAGCGAATATAAATTTTTAGGGGATAAAAGGTAAAAAAGTTCCCTGACCCCTGCTCTAGATGGATAAGGCTCAGCAAAGGCCAAATTTGTAAATATTTTTTTCTAAGAAATGCCATTCAACTTCACCGTGTTGGTGTGTGTATGTATGTGTGATGGCAGCATGGGCTGGGCTCAGCCTCTTGGCACTGGGCCGCCACCCCATGCGCCTCCCCATGCGCCGTGTATATATATAAGAAAGATGTCCCAAAGGAGGTCCACTTTTGAAGTGAAGTCACCAGACTTCACAGGGGAAGTTGACTCCATCAGGGTTGAGCTTCTGGCAGGCCGAAAGTCAGATTGATGTTCTCCAAAAGGCCTTTATTCTTTCAAACAGCTCTTAACAACAGCTTTTAAAATGGTTTCAGGAGTGTGGTATGTTTTAACCTGTGTTATTTATTTCAGTGTACCTCACTTTGGAGCTTATAAATAAACAGATGTAATAAATAAATAAATGATATCTGAAAATCCTAATCCTTAAAGCTTTGATCTAGCACAACTGCATGTTCTGTAGCACAGAAAAGCTCCATTATCAGAGGAACTTAAGCAGAAGGAAATGTTGGGTTTGGTGTTTATGATGGACTCCAAGTTAACCAGTGGCTGGGAATTCTGAGAACTTTAATTAACCTACTACAGTATTATAATAACAGTAAGGTGAAAGCTTCTGAAGTAAAAGTATTATCCCGAAGTATCCCAAAAGAAGCGCCCATCAATTCAGATGTTTCTGCATTGTATATAGGTTTTACATCTGCCAGAGTAAACCTTTCACACAAACCATTCAAAGCAAAAGTACTAAATCTGACACCGGGTTTTCCCTTACCACCACCCTTGTTTTGCTATGCAAAAGAAAAAAAAATCTCTTTCTGGATGGAAGGTTATCACTTCAGACTTCTTTGCCATTCCATATCTTCAAACACGGGGGTGATCCTGTGGGCTCTGATTCACTTTATTACACACCCACCGCTGAACCACTAGGACTTTGCCTTCGTGGAATTCCCTTAAACAAGGTGAGAAGAAATCTTCCCAGCCTCCAAGGCCCGCCGGTAGAATGGCTTGTTTCAACTTCTGCGACATATTCTTTGCACCACCTTCAGTTCTTAAGTTCTTATTTCTCACATCAGTTTCAGTTTCGTATGACACACTTCTCCAACCAGAAATGAAGGGTTGAGTACACAAAAATATGTAGACGTATTTGAAGCCTCTTTCCCTGCCATCCATACCTGTGATTACAAGTAGTCTTGTGGCACCTCAAAGACTAACAAGTTTCATTATGCCTAAGCTTTTCTTAGACTGTAGTTCACCTCCTCAGATGCAATACCAAATGACCTACAGTTTATGAACTCTTTTGGCAGTTGAAATGTGTTCATTTTTAACACAAACAGCCACAAAATACGGTTTTAGGACCACAAGGGAGAACATTTTGAAGCAGAGAGGTGTCTTTGTTCATTAGAAAGTGGGCTGAAGGCCACATATGAATGGGACCCCGGAGTCAAATCCAGATGCTCCTGACAACACTCTTTCAATCTGTCCTTCATCCCCTTTTTATCTCACACACGTATGTAAACACACACAAGCAAGCCTCCCATTGATCCACCTATCCAAATCTAATCTCTTAATCTTCTCACAGACAGAGAGACAGATCTATTGTCCACTTTCTCTGGTGTTCTGTTTCTCAGCACTTCCTTTAGTTTAAGAAAAATGCCTTAGTTTCAAACATATTTAATCTGCTACATCAAGGAGAAAGAAAGGGGGAGAAGGGTGGGACTGCAGAGCAGGGCATTTACGGCCCAGTTCCCACACCACTCTAGACACCATGGGTCAGTGCATATACTTGGCTGCTAAATATTTCACAAAGGTGGAGATAACTCCTGGGGGAAGTTCCCTAGAGAAGGGCGGGGGGCCCCTGCATGCCGCTTGTACGTCTCTGACTTCCCTAAAGATATTTCTTAAAAGATGCATCAATTTAATCTCATCCTTATATTTTGAGATACAAAGAGGGGAAATGTTTACTTTTTTCCATACACACTCAAGCAGATCGTGTCCTGTTCGAAAACTCTTCAATGGCAGGCATTAGAAAAGCTACAGAGAGATGCTTTTTTATGTTGAATGCTTAAAAGGAGGCCACTCCATGTTTCCTTAGCCGTTCCAGCCTGCTAGAATCTGGAGCCATGCCTATCCAGGGAGTTGGGCCTGCTCACTTTGCAAACCAGATCTGGTTAAAGGAAAGGTCTGTTTGAAAACTTTGATACCAAAGTTGTGGTATCAAAACCACAGAGTGTTTCTTTGCCTTCTCCTGGGTCCCTGAACAATCTTACAGTTCTACAATAAATACAGCAGGGCATGCTCTTCTTGTTGGTTATTTGGAAGCAAACCTAATGCTTGTTTGTACAGGGAGACCTCTGGGGTTTATGCTTTCATTTAGCTAACATTTGCTACTGGTGTATGGCTGTTACTGTCTATTTCATTAGGGTCTCTCCCCCCCCTCCCGAATTAGCCAATTGCTGTTTGGCCTCTGTATGTACATGTCTTATTTCAACTTTAAGGTCACAAATCAGCTTAGCCTTACAGACCAAGCAGAAACACCAGGAAAATATCATAAAATGTCAAAAAGAAGTCACACTTACTAGGAAAAATTATCATGCTAAAAGCCACAATGAGAACCTGATGACATACACTGTCTCTCATAGGCATACCTACCTATCTCACAATAATTTATTTTAAATGAAAACATTAAATTAAGAAACAGGGACAATGGCAGTGGAGAGAAGAGAGAAAATGATATTGAATCCTTTAGTTACCTGTTCCATATTGTAGCCATGTTTCTCCTTTGCTATAGCAATGTATTCATCCACTGCAAGGAGAGGAACACAAAGAACAGCAAATTAGATCTTAGAACAGCAGCATCAAAGACAGTGAAGGCAACAGCCATGCTCTGATTATCAAAACTCAATTAAATGGGATGCAAATGCATTTTCTGTGCCTGAATGTAGCTACTTCTCTCCCCTTGGATACAAGTGGGGCAATGACGGTTAATGCTTCCCAAACAAGCCATAACATCAGGTCAACATGAATCTTAGTTTATTTGGTAGCCATTGATTACAATTCCCAGTTTGGAGTTAAGAGTAATTTATAGTTGACCGCACCTTTCTGGCTTGCTTCGCTACTCAAACAAAATACTGCATGGTCCTGTGAACGACAGATTCCTCTTACCTCCAGACTGGAAACTGTGGCTGATGGCTTGTCCACATCTAGGCTTATTAAGCAGAGATCTGATTGTCCAACTGAATATAAACCCATATAGAAGTTATTAAAAGAACTACAGGCATACCTCGGTTTACGAATTTAATGCGTTCTCCAGGGTGTTACATAATGTGAAAAATTCGTAAACCGAAACGCGCTTTGCCATAGGAACAGGGACGGCGCTATAAACCTCCAGACATAATGCATGCTGAGGAAACTTGCTTCGCACTACGAAAAAAAAATCGTAAACCGAGCCATTATTTTCAATGGATTTTCCTTCGTAAACCGAAAATTACGTTAACCAAGGTGTTCATAAACATAAACCTCCAGGCACAATGCATGCTGAGGAAACTTACTTCGCGCTATGAAAAAAAATCGTAAACCGAGGCTTTATTTTCAATGGATTTTCCTTCGTAAACTGAAAATTACGTTAACCAAGGTGTTCATAAACCGAGGTATAACTGTATTATTATATTATTCTGGTCCAGTAATCTGATGAAGTTGGTACTGGAAGAAAATATACTATGGCTGAAATACCGTGGCTTAGTGTAGTATGTACATTGCACTAGAGTAGATTCACAAGCAAATGACTAGGCTAAAGTAAAGTAAAGCAGAAGGAGGAATGGTGCAACACAAGGCCATTTCAGGTTAAAAAAAAGCCTCATGGGTGTTCCAAGGGAGACAAAATAATCACAAACAGCTCAGTCCAAAGTGGTGACTTTTATTTTACCCACTTACATGTCTCCAACACAGAGATATATTCACCATCAAGACATTCAAGGTGGCTTACAGATGTTTTAACAATGATGAACCAGTGTGAGAGTGACAAAGAAGGAAGGAGAGATGAAACAGGGTGTGATGTAGCTTCCTACCTGGGAATTTCAAAATGTCACTTTTTAGACCAACACTCTCAAAACTTTTTAGACCACCACTCCCAACAACACAGGGACTAGTCGTACTGGCTAGAGGTTTCGGAGAATTATACAGTGGTGCCTCGCAAGATGAATTTAATTCGTTCCACGGTTAATGCTGTCTTGCGAAAAATTTGTCTTGCGAAACACGTTTTCCCATAGGAATGCATTGAAATCTAATTAATGCGTTCCTATGGGCAAAAAAAACGCCAGGACAAAGTCAAATTTGGTTTACATAGGGTTTGGTTTTGGTTTACAAAGGGTTTATTAAGTGCTCCTCAAAGCCATACATATTGTGCAGATGATTAAAAAAAATTCAATCAAAAAGCTTTAACTTTTTAAACATCATAGAAAAACATTTAAAAATCAGCAAACATGAGGCAGGAACAAAAAACAGAAAACATTCCTCTTGCGAAGCATGGCCATAGGAACATTTGTCTTGCGAGTCATCAAACCGGTTGCCAAAACCAATTGTCTTGCGAGTTTTTTGTCCTGCGAGGCATTTGTCTTGCGAGACACCACTGTACTCCAAAAAACAACTTATTGAAAAGCCTCCAGAATCTGCTCCAAAAGGCCCTTAATATGTATTAGCTGACCTCCAACTTTCACTACCCACACTTTCTCAGGTAGAGTAATTCTATCATTAACCAACTTTTAACATAAAAGCTTAAAAACCCATCATTTCAGAATTATTCCTACCCACCCACCCACCAAGCACTGGAGATGTATTTTTAAAAGGAGCAGAGATGTAAGCTCTCTCTTACAAATTAGCCTCTTAGTGTCCCGGTGTCAGTAGCAATTAAAGGCAGCATTGTGAAAGGGCCATTAAGACCTGCCTTGAAGTTGTCGATGTAATTCCAGAGATAGCGGTAACTTTGCAAGGAATACGAATGACCCAACATTTTGCAGCGTCTCATTTCTGGACTACAGCGATTTGAATATGGCCCTGACTGTGCTGGATGTGTCAATGATTTGGAAAGGGGACAATACAGAAACAGAAAAATCAGGGTGAAGGAATAAAAAAAGTCTGAAATATGTTCCTTTGACATGGCTTTAGAGGAGGGCATTAGAAGAGAAGATGACTGTTGGGATCTGCAAGATGAGGGGAAGTAGGGGTCTTGCAGATGAAGCCTCAGTGCAGGAATTTGTAGATGAAGCTTCCCCCTTGACCAGCAAGGGGGAAAAAGAAGAGATGGGACACTCGAGTGTGAGTCAGCTGTTCAGAGGGAATCTCTCGATCTCTCGCCTCCTCCTCTTTTATTGTTTTCCTACTACATTTGCTCTAGTTAATCAATACTATTTTAAACAGAGGCATTTAATTTCCTGAATACACAGCCAGAATCAACAGACAGGCTGGTAAACAGACAGCTAATAGTAAACAGACACAGATAACATCCAAATACACAGACAAGTTAGACAAGTTCCTGAATACACGAACACTTTAACTACATTATCCAGAGATAGGTAAACAGCAGGTTAATGATCATCCTTACTGGAAACTGACCTGGGCCCAAAACAATGTCTGCTATATACATTGTAAAAGCATACAATTTCCCCACAGATGACTTAAATGGGACTATCACAAGACAAGACTCACTAGAAAAGACAAGAGTATTAGGAAAAGTTGAAGGCAGTAGGAAGAAAGGAGGATCTATCATGAGATGGACTGACTCAATAAAGGAAGCCATATTTCTTTGTCTATAAGAACTGAGTGTAAGGCTGCAAGGACAGTGTGTTTTGGACTTCATTAATTCATAGGGCCGCTTTACGTCAGAAAGCAACTTTGATAGTACCTAAAAAGAGCATAAAGGACAATAAAGAAAGCCGACCGCCGAATAACTGATGCATTCGAATTGTGGTGCTGGAGGAGGTTCTTGAGAGTCCCCTGGACTGCAAGGAGAACAAATCTATCCATTCCAAAGGAAATCAACCCTCAGTGCTCACTGGAAGGACAGATCCTGAAACTGAAGCTCCAATACTTTGGCCATCTCATGAGAAGAGAAGACTCCATGGAAAAGACCCTGATGTTGGGAAAGTGTGAAGGCAAGAGGAGAAGGGGACGACAGAGGATGAGATGGTTGGACAGTGTCATCGAAGCGACACACATGAATTTAACCCAACTCCGGGAGGCAGTGGAAGACAGGAGGGCCTGACGTGCTCTGGTCCATGGGGTCATGAAGAGTCGGACACGACTAAACAACTAAACGATGACAAAAAAGAGCATAACAATAGAAGGCCTTTGAGTGACAACAAGTCAAGCCTCATTCTCTCAAAAAAATGCCTACACTGCCTAAGCGAGACTAAATACCACACCATGGCTGCAAGTTTAAATTGAAAATGTGAATAAAGTATCTACATAGCAATGAAACATCTTTCCAAAACCAAAACGCAACATAACCTCAGGAGGGAAGAGGGGGCCATGATCTATTGTTTCATTAACTGGAGAAATTATTGATGGTGCGTGAGACCGTTTTGTTCAACCTGCTTGGCATTCCACAAGCAAACTCCGTCCATCTAGCAGCTATCTCCGCGCTTGTTGCTGCTTGAGGTTTCATGAATAAAATGAGCCCCTCTTGCTCTTGAATAACCTTTTTCCTTTGAAACAGAAGGGGAGACAAGAGGTAGAGGAGGCATATTCTGCTCACCACGGAGAGAGTGTTTAACATATCTGATGATTAATGCACACAGGAGTATTTGAGCTGTTCATTTCTTCTCATAAGCTGATGCTGGTTTATATTAACTGATTGATTGATCTGATTTGATTTATATACCACTCCTTTAAGGCAAGGCACTATTTTGGGTGGTTTATAATAATAAATCAAAATGTATACAAGTAAACTATAAATAATAAGATTAAAACATTCACACGACAAAAACAAATGATGCCAAAGACAAATTCTGTATGTGACAGCAGGATAGGAGGTGTAACATCGAACAGAGTCAGTGTTGAAAGCCTCCCTGAAAAGCAGCATTTTAAGTTGCCTTCTAAACGTTAACAGGGAGGGGGCCGGCCATAGCTCCACCAGGAACTGGTTCCACAATGTCGGTGCCACTGTGAAGAAGGCCTGATCTCTTGTGGATGGCTTCCGGGTCTCCTTCAGGGTGGCTACCCAGAGGAGCACAGCCTGGGAGAATCTGGTGGGTCGGGCAGACAACATTGAAGAGAGACGCTCCAACAAGTAGCATGGTTCCAAACTGTGGAGGGCTTTATACATAAACATCAAAACCTTTAACCTGATTCAGGACAGAATGGGTAACCAGTGGAGGCAAGCCAGAACTGGCGAGATATGATAGAAAGTGATCATACCAGCCACCAGTCTGGCTGCCGCATCCTGGACCTGCTATAATCCCCAGGTGAGCCTCAAGGGAAGCCCCACATAGACCGCATTATAGTAGTTGATCCAAGAAATGACCACTGCATGCACTAAAGTCTTGAGTGAACCCTCGAGATATGATGGAAAGTGATCATACCAGCCACCAGTCTGGCTGCCGCATCCTGGACCTGCTATAATCCCCAGGTGAGCCTCAAGGGAAGCCCCACATAGACCGCATTATAGTAGTTGATCCAAGAAATGACCACTGCATGCACTAAAGTCTTGAGTGAACCCTCGTCTAGATAGGGGTGGAGTTGGGCGATAAGCTTCAGCTGGATGAAAGCAGATCTGGACATGCCTGCAATCTGGAAGTCCCAAGAACAAAC